AATTCTTACACAGAGGCGAGAACAATGGCATCATTTAAAAAATGCGAAATAATGTTGGATGTTGGTGCAGACATGGTGAAAATCACTTACGCAGATCGCTAAGTCGTCACTCGCTCCGAATACCCTGTGATTTATCAGATCACAAAAGAATGGTGCTCTTATCACACATGAAAGACGGATATGACTGTCTTCTAGGCATGTTTCTATCCTTGAATTACGAGACGAGTCATCAGTTAATCCGACACCAAGGTAAAACAAGACAAACAGTTTTGAAACCAGTAATTTGCTTCGGGGATGCTCTCACGACATTTTTATTCATTCCGTACAATGGAAAAGAATCACAAATTCAAAGCACGAATTTCCCCTGAATGAAAAACGTAGAGAGTGGGAATGTAAAACAACTTCTTGCTCTTGGGAAAAAGATGTTCACCTGTAAACTAATTTTGTTGGAACTATGATTAAACATCTGCAAAATTTTCCAGAACCCTGCGAGGCCACCTGAGAATTGAACCGGAAATACTCTCTAAAAAAACTGATCAAGAGCCTGAAGAAATTGAAGATCTTCGGATCCGGTACATTAGGTTTCGCACAAAGTGAGACAGATATCACAGTTGCCTTGAATGTACGGCTTTTTATCCTCATCAAGAGTCGTTTCTGACGTCGAAAAGCGTTGCTAACACTTTGAAATGGGTGCGTTGACTCCATCTATCATAGTGTAACTGACCTAACTGATCACAGTCATGCTTGACGCCAGGCATCGCAATATTACGAAGGCCAGGTGTCATGTTATGACCGGTTTCCCTCCGGTTAGTTTTGTGGATGAATTTGGAGGTACTTGTCAGCCCTAGTTGTCTGAAACAAGGTTTTGCTGTTGCCAAGACTAACCAAGACAAAACAGAAAGAGTTCTTTTGAAGACCAGCAAGAAAATATGTCAAAGACCAAGGTTCTATCCACAGAATGATCACATGCGTGTTTATATTCGGTTTATTAGCGGTGACATTATCGATGGAAGTACATCAAATCCCTGTATATGGCTTTGAGCTTTGTCTAACTAGTCTGTTATGCATCGTCTGATTAAGCAAGGACAAGAGTTATGACTTTAAACATGTCATCATATTTGGTCCGTTTTGTTCTCTCGATAGATAAAACCTACGAACATTTAATGGGTGCACAGTTGTGATATTTGATTGTTTTGTACCTGAATGTCCCCTGTGCAAAATACACCAGAACTCGCCACATGTATTCGTACGAATTATTAAACTTTATGTAACAGTCTTGTGTAAACCCATTTCAGTTGAATTTAGGTCGACACGAAGAATGCAGATGGCAACAACCAGTGTTCGTCCACCTGTGCTCGTGCACACAGGACTGATAGTGAGGCAAAATGTCGGTACGGCGGGTATCCGTCATTTGTCATTCCAAAACGCTTGATGCAGTGCTGCCAACTCACACGACCTACTTGAGTGTTATCGATCCCATAACGCACAGTTAGATGCTACCTGAAGTTTTAGGGCATCCATTTGACGGATGCTGCTTGCGCCGTAGACCTGTGGTCTGAACCGTTTTGTTCCAAGCTCAAAGTCGAATAGATCCGAAGGGTTAAGTCCGCAAACAAGTGTGAAGTGAAAAACATCGTTTAAGATTACATTTCAGTATTTGGGATCTTCGTTTCGTATTGCACACAATCTAGACCAGCATACAGAGTCATCGGTATCTCTCCACATCAAGACTCAAGATACACAGGTGCTTGCCCCCACTTTTTACAATGTTCACGCCCGATATTGTGACCCTAAGAATTACTACATGGATAGCTGCGCACCACTCTGACAATGAACTGTAGTTAAACTGTTAGTTAATGCTAGAACTCTTTTGTTCTTGAGTTTTGAATCAGACTCCTTGTAAAAAGGGTTCAAATCTTACTGAGACCATTTATCGCTGGTATTTCAACAGTTAACATCGGGAAACTATGTGCACAGCTTGATTGCCACAATACACGAAACTCACAAAAAATACTGTTCAGGCGTGTACACATAAGAACTTTTTCGGTTTCTAAGTTGCGCCAGGTACATGCGAAAGGATACGCCAGAGCGGATTTTTGTCAACTTAGCCGGTAACCGACTAGTTGTTGGTTCTGAAATGTCCATCGACCATTGCTACAAAGTCGCGTTTGCTGTTTTGTGTACGCTGCAACCCTGTTCACTTTGGCGGACTATGACTTTTCATAACAGAGCAATCCGAGCGGGGCAAACTGAGCGAGTGTTCGGACAACAGTGGACTGCAAATATGAAATCCGACAGCGGCGGACACAAAGCCTCACAGTCTCACGTTATGATCGACAAGCATTGCTTACTTTTATAACTCAAATGAGAAGGAACAGAAGAGAAGGAGCAGAAGAAAGCGTCAATTCAACCCTAGCACCTCAATTGCTCGTGTCCAGGCTTCGGTAACCTAGCAATATCTCAGCACCCGTACATCTTTCTGGCGGCATGAGAGTGAGGTAGCGGAAAAAATGCTACAGTTCATAAATCCCTACTCGCCGACATGTACCGCATTAGATTATTGGCTATGTAGCATGATCTGGATAGAGTCATGAAGAACAGAAGTAGCAGACGGCACAAAATTTCCATTTTAGTGTACACAGTGCATCAGCCGAACCACAGTTCTGGTGTAAACAGGCACTGTGGTGAATAGGCTGATGGCATTACAGCTCAAAAATTCAGTCACTGTACGCATTAATTACTATGATGTTTAGACTTCTCCAAACAATTACGACATGACTGCTGTTTACTTGCATTTCGTGTCTGGCGTTCCTCGTTAGGAGAGATGTGCAAATGAGTAAATTTCGCTTAGGAACAAATGTACGTCTGGAGCGTGGATGGATGGTTGTTGCGCATTCAACTATCGCGAACAGGATGGATTGAATGGTGAGTGAATAGCACATTGCGTCGACGTCTCGGCGCGAATTCAACCCACTACTTCTAGTTGATTAACCACAGGCAGTGACATGCCGATTGCACTATTTGCGTGGGTGCTCTAAGCGCAGTCGATTGCCCTCCCCTCACCATTGGTCAGCATTTTCGGTGTCGTCATTGGCTGTCGCAACGCGCGTGTACGTGTGCCAACTTCACAACCCCTGGACCGGAAGATTCCAGCCAAAGGCCGAAGTAGCCAAGCGATGTTATCGGTTCGGCTGGAGTGAGCAGCGTGACGGCACGCCTTAATAACGAAAGCCAGTTAACATCGATGGGTTTTTGGTCTTCTTGCGACAAAGGCGGTACTAGCCAGGCCGCTTTGTCAGGATCAAAAGGACGAAGTCGACGGTGTTATTAGTATGTTGCTATGGTGCCCAACCCATGTTTATTTAGTTCAATCTACGACCGAAAAAAATTATTTTGATATGCATATCTAAGGTTCACACCATTGCTGCATAAAGTTCCAAAATACCACGATTACTGTATATCACACAATCAAACAGGGGCGATAACATTGAGACAGCCCACAGGGGTCAGGTATTCAGAAAATAGTAGTCGAGTCATGGTCAGATAATCCTCAAATGCAAAAAGGAACAGGTGTTTGAGAAAAATTGATATCCGTGTTAGTATGTTACGTAAAGGTAGTCAACGATTTTGAAGCAGCCAAAGATTGTCGGAGAAAATATAGTTGTCGCTGCTAATTTCTATGGAGTCCGGTGAACGGATAATTTGAACTGTTTCGTGTCGACTAGCGATCGATATCGCAAATCACCCAACCGACTACAAACAACAAAACGCAAGTGCAAATTGACACCAAGCACCACAAAAACCTAAACAGTGCATGCAGTAAGTGAATTTCTGTACTGTCATGTCCGTGTCGGTCAACGTCAAACAAATTCACTTCAATCGCTATGTTATGTGGTGCTTTGGTGTGCCTCCTCCCCATAAATGAATGCGGACAGTTCAGCAAACAAAAAAAAACTAATTTGTTTGCAAATGAGTGTGTTTCCCTAATTTCGTGCAATTTGGTTCCCAGTAGAACATAAGGTTGACGGAAACCCGGGGACTGCGCCTACCCGATGAGCTCCAAGAAGGGCGAAACCGATCGTGGGTTGTCGAAGAATTTTCAGCAATCTTATGAGTAGTGGATAAGGTATTTTCCGTCTAGTTTGTCCAGAAAGATACCGATACGATGAATGTACATCCGCAAATTGAGGTAACTGTGTTCGGACCTCCATTCAGGTGACACCGGATGAGGAATTTTTCGTTCGACGTCTAATTCATTCTCTCGTTAAGTCATGCCACAATTTTCGATTGGATAAGCTACAATGATCAAGTAAATTGTGTTCAAAAGCGCACCACAAAAGCATTTATTTAGTCTTCTTGTCGGATTTCAGATCGGAACTGGGCTCAACAAGACTGATTTGCAGTGACGAATAGCTACAGGCTATTGGAGAGAATACACAATTCGTTATTTAAGCCAAAATCGATCCGACGACCCTGAAGAATAGGAAATGGGGACCAACTATCATCAAAAGTAGTTCGGTAGCTCGGAAAGATTAAAGGATCACTTGAAGTGAACCGGCTGGATTATTTTCACCGGATCGCCCAACTTGCCGGTCTTACGATGTCATACTACAGTTCCTGCAAGCAAGAAGATAACAATGTCTACTTTCTTTCGAAACGTCGAAAACAGACCGGCATAATCTGGAGCCGTTACAACAGACACTCATCCCAGTCATTAATGGCTGCACTGTGTAGAAGAACAACTAAATCACCGTTACAGAGATTTCATGTGTAGGCGAAAACGTGGCCTTGATGATAAGGTCACCCCTGTCCTGGGTGAGAGAGTGAAACGCAGACTGCCGTGGCCACAGCTGGCAACCAAACCTCATTCCCTTATGGACCGATTGCCTGTTGAAAACGAGATGATTTTACCTGTCACTGCTGTCTGCTCAAGAGGATCAATACATGGAAAAGTCAAGTACAGCCAAAAACTCTATATTAATCAAATACGCTAAAAATAGTCAAAATGAACATTGGGCAATATGAACGCTAGAAAAGTTGAAAACCAACGAGAGAGAGAGCAAAGATGCACTAAAACCATCGCAAGCAAGTGAGTCATCACGGTCTAGATTCTGAATCTAAGTAGCTAAAAGCAAGATGAAAGGATTGTCCAGCCTCGCATTTCCTGTGTAGGCGCGGAAAGTCAGAGAAACGATATGGTAAGTAAGCGCATGCACTGTTTAAATTTACAGAGCATCATTTGCGATATCCGAAACATCAAGAGGAGCCGAAAGGTACAGCAAACTTTTCCCGTCCGGCATCATTGATAACGCATATGTGCTATGAAGTATGAAAGAAACGTAATGTCAGACGGGGTAGATCACATACATGTAAACAATAAACTTGGTGAAAAGTTATAATCGAATGTATAACACCTGGTGCATCCCAAACGATACTACTGAGCTTTTGCATCATCAAAGTTTACGTGAGCGAAAGTTTATAGATTCAACCGTGAGATCTTTTCGGTGCATACCTGTTACGCAACGCAAACGAAGAAAAAGCGCTGATATATCGAGAAAGTGCTCAATCCTAGACGGAAGCAAACAGGAAAGGCCAGGCCCGGATTCGAATCATGGACATCCTAGTCAATGGCTTTATGAATAGGCGTTCAGTAAGTACTGATGCGTACCGATCCATACTAGAAATCCATGGTACCGAGTAACATGCATTTCATTCGATGTTCCAACAAAGTACATGGACAGATTCAACCGGGTTATGCAGATTCCGGTCGAACGATCTGTACAAATATTGACCCGTTTGATATGAATTATGTGTAGGACAGGGATCCGATGGGTGACTTTGGGCCGCATTCTAGTTTTCACTAACCCTAAAAAACTGCTGGCCATTGCCTTATCGGAAGGCTCCACAATCAGTCATTTTACCGAGTCGGTATGAAAGTATATCGACCAGTGGCAATCAAGGGTGTCATTTTTATGACCTGATTTGTAATGAACGAGAGAGTCACTGAAGAAACCGTTGAAAAATCCAACCTTACGCAGGGGATAGCAAAGAGTAACTGTGTCGCAGAAAGATGAAATAGTGAAAATTGGCGAGATTTTGTGTCTATTTGTCACAAGGTTAGGCTACATTACAAGTCGAACCTGCCGACCGATTTGATCTCACTTGATGGACTGACACTAACCGTACCCGCAAAGTTCTCGCTACGAATGCCAACCGTAGGCGACGACAGGGCGAAAGTGATTGCCGCTACTAGTCAAGCTTTTGTGTTTTGGTCTTTCTCATTATTTCTTCTAGCTGGGTCTAGAATCACTTCTGCGATGTCAAGAAGACATCAAATCAACACTGACTGGACATATTTCAGGTTTGATTTCGATTGGGCTTTGCTCAAGGTAACAAATAAGGGGTTTAAGTGTCCAGTCACGAACGGACAGCTGTTCATACTGATGAAATGAAATGCTCATCTCAAGGCTTTAATCCGCTAGTGAAGTTACGTAACGTTCACAACAGGGTCACCCCTGTCTAGGCCTGGGCGACCTGGCGGTATCCCAGCTCTCGTGCTTCCTCCGGGTGGCATGGCAGCTAGGCACCGAAAGTGTGTTGCAGCTGAATGATTTTTTCAACAGGGTCACACTAGTAGTTCCATTGTGAAGCAAAACTCTAGAAGTCATGTCAACAGGTAGTTAGCATGGTGTACACCAACTGCATAATATAACTCATGTTTCACAGTTATCGGCTGGCATGTCGTATTGTACCGAGGAGACTGGTTGCCTGGTCGGCCGTTTACTGCGAGCAGTCAATCAGGCTAACAGCTAGTCGGTTTAAACACGGGCGGAATTCCCATCCAATTACAATGAAGCCCGGCTCGTTCGTTGAGAGTCATTTTCGTCCATCGGGTGCCGTATTCCGAATGTGGCTTATTTGGCTGCAGATGCCGCAGTTCATCGGAACGTCCACTTAGCTGAAGTACGCGGCCCTATCATGATGCAATCTGACGGCAGAACTCCAAATTTCCTCGTTCTTCTGTGAACACTCTCAATCGTACGGCTTACTCTAGGGACAGACCGACTTGTCCAAAACCAACACTATCCATTCATCCAGTTGGTGGTGGCTCATTGACGTAACCACATTGTGTGTAGTTCTAACGACTGCATCGCTACTTAAGGTCATCAGAATTAAGCCACCTAGGGGAAGGGGTATCTAGGGCACTCCAATAACTCATGACAGCTATCCGAAAGTGAAGCAAACGTAAGTGTGAATGGATGCAGTTACAGTAATAATTTTTTGGTTGAACTGTACTCATTTTCCCTGCATTAGATCCGTCTTCTTTGTATTTACACTGACTAAATGAACCTGTTTTCCTGGCCGAGAGATGACGGAAGTTCACGGCATCCACATATAGGCATCAGGATTACCCCGAAGTTAGGCATTCAGGAAATTTCCGGCAACTCCGAGTATGCAGACGATGTCACTTGGTGATGAAATGTTCGTAATCGCGTTACTCCGCCCAAAGAGCGGATCAATGGAAGACTGGTTTGTTAACTGGTGCGTAAGTAGGCTCAAAAATACTTGAGCTAAATCGGACTTCCTAGTTTTCAATGTTGTTTGATCACTTTGGACCACGGGACTAGAACTGGCTGTATGTACGTTTACAACATATACGTCTACATACTAGCACATCGGTAAGCACGGACATATTTCGTTCAGCACATGGATCAAGCGGGTTTCGTTCATATTGGAAATACCACAACAAGATGTAAATTTGATGGCCTTACATGCATATCACGAAAATGGTCGTTGTAGTCGAATGCGTAACCCACAACGAAGCGGTCAGGAATTTCAAAGCCGGCAACTGGAGGAAAAAAAAAGGAATAAACGTCTTTTTTTAAACACACTGGTATCAAATTGGCGGAAACAAGCGGAACGCGTGAAAAGGCTGAATGACTGTTGCCCACACCGCAAATTGCTTTGCTTTACTTAAATTCGATACACAACACATAACAAGTGGTCTTTATATTCCCTATGATCGAAGCGTAACGAAAAACGGTCCTGCAAACCAATGGTGCTGAAGAATCCCATTGGAAGAAAACTGACTAAAACAATGTGAATGAGCTCGTCGTACTACATGAAAAACGCTGGTTAGAATAAAACAGGGCCCAATTGTCTCTTTTGATTCGTGACAAAGGGCTTATGTGTTGATCAGTCATGATGTAATCGTTCTACAATGATGGGACGACAGGCATATGACTTTTCAAGACAGAGGCCGGCAGTTAATTAAAAGGTGTCTGAGCTGGGAATCGGACCGAGATCATCCAAACATAAATGTATGAAGTTATCCACTGGATTACTCGGGGTCACTCGAACCGAAAGCTCTCGTCACCATGGGGTTGCTGCATGACGATCTTACGAAAACGAGATTAGTTAATAGTTCAACAAAACCGGGGCCACATGCCCCCGTCTAATTTGGTAACATAATCAGCCGATGCAAAAATGTTGCTTCAGGTCGCTATTACCTTTGCTCATCTTCAGTTTCATTTCTAACCTGAACAAAAGATGCAGTACCAAAAGCTTCGTTCGGCTCGAGTTCCAGAATCACTCTCTATTTTCCGTTTTCGTTCCAAGGGTAAGGTTTGCTGCCACGCTTCTTCCTCTATCAAACACTTATCCATGCTCAGTTGCGTACATTCATTTCCGCCCGGAGTAGCGAACTTCAGTTGTGGCTCCACCACCAAGCATCAAATCCCCTGCGATCCAACAATTAAGCATCACAATTGAGCAAATGAGCTGCATACTTGGTTCGTCACACTTCTGCTCGGTCGATCAGCAGCCAAAGCGAACAGTAAACCCTTTGTGCGACGCACACAATACGCTATACACTCATGAAGATCGGGGGTGAGTTTTCAAAAAGAGGCCCGGGGAAGTCTCGAAGCGAGATGTTCAAGCCTCTGTTCACCACCACACTGCTCACCACCTCACTGTTAGCAATGGCATAAGGAAACGAACAGAAAGTCGCTCAGCTGCAGCACCGTTTTGGTACATAGCTGCCTTGCAACTCGAAGAGAGAGTGAGGACTGAGATACTGCCAGGTCACCTGAGCCTAATAGTAGCAATAGAATAGTCGGAATCGAGTTCGAACCACGGACCTTTCGGGGGCAGCGGTTTCCGACCATAACCACTGAGCTGTCTTGAGCACACGCAAAGCTACTCTGCGTATGGCCGTGAAGCGCCGATTGACAAAGGACTGATGCAGCTTGTCTAAATACCTCAAACAGGTGTTTAGGCCTGTATACACCCTTGGGCCTCACGCTACCCATACAAACACTGTGTGTAGTGGAATCATCTATACAAAGTGCACCCGCTGTTTTATCAATGTAGTGCTAAGAATAAAACGCTCTTAGCAGCGCTGACACACATAGCAATTACATGCGAGCCAAAGCAGCTCGTGGACAACAAAAGTGGGATAAAGCAAAAGTAGTAATGACAGTTGGCAAATCAGACTAAAAGTTCTCATCTCAGTAGTTGGTGTCTTGAAATTAAGGGCCTCCACAGCACATTAAACCTTTAAAATTCCTCTCTTCTAAACTATTGAAGTATGGAGTCTCCTCGGCTTGTCGAAAAAAACTGCGCATGCTTAATGGGACTGTTCCCCTGGATTATAGCACCAACACAGGGGTATCTCAAAACTCCATTCCAAACACAGATGATCAACGTGGGAAAACTAGGTGTAACGTACAGTCAGGCGTGTATCCCGAACTGAGTGGCGTTCTTTTGACAAGCAGGCTGAAAAGAATGGACAGTAGAAAAACTTAGTCCATAGCCATATAGTTTGAAGCAGCGTTTGAAAATCAATAGTGTCCAGGGGTGCTAGGAAACGACGAAGCTCGTAACAGTTGGCATTCCTTTGAATTTAGAATTTTCTGTAGAATATGGCTCCTAGAAATGGAGACATTTGGTGCATGAGCACGTCATTCTTTTGACAGCAGGCCGAAAAGAATGGACAGTAGAAAAACTTAGTCCATAGCCATATAGTTTGAAGCAGCGTTTGAAAATCAATAGTGTCCAGGGGTGCTAGGAAACGACGAAGCTCGTAACAGTTGGCATTCCTTTGAATTTAGAATTTTCTGTAGAATATGGCTCCTAGAAATGGAGACATTTGGTGCATGAGCACGTCATGTTTTAGGTATGTAATGAAAAACTCGTGAAATGACTAACTTATGGGTGAAATACAGCTGCACAAATGCGCCCGATTGAAAAAGACGAACAAAACCCTTCCGCTACAACAGATGCCTGCGAACATGGCAGAGTTCCAAATGATACCAAGCAGTAAAGTTTCCGTCCTCAAGAGAAAACACCACGAACTGGACGACTTCCACCACCCCATTTTTATGCGGAATTTCCGAGGAGATTCTCTGAGAGAGAATATTAATCTACGAAGCAAATGCTGAGTTTCGGAAATCGCTTATTATTTGAGACTGAGAAAGCCAGTGGACAAACGAGGTCTGTAAGCGCCCATCCAAACTATGTCTGTCTGATAGATATCGATACGGACTACTAGCCAATTCAAGCCTTATACTATGCAAAAAAGGTGCGTATGCACCAATTAACCGCCAACACGTGCACGAAGTAGGAGGCATATTCATAAAGGGATATAGACTGTATTTTGGGCAGACACCTGGACACCCAATGAGACTTTAGTAGTCAACGTGTGTTTTTGGGTTATTGTTCTCGAGACACAGCCAACTGGGTCTGTTATACGTTTTCATTGATCAATCAAACCCGGGTTACTCAGGGCTTCTGTCGCGTCGCCCGTTCATGATTTGCTGTGTACACAGGGGGCCCTGCGCCATGAAGCGTGACGGCCAGACTTGGCAGATGTATGTGCGAATTGCGGCTGGCCCTGAGGCAACCCTTATCTGATGTTATGAACTACGTAGGGTCTAGAAAATACGGCAAACTTGACTTGAGGACGACCTATTCGGGCAATGTACTGGGGTAAATCTCTAGTGAGAATCGAGCAACAACAAATCGCACAAACCATTTGTAGCCAGTAGTGCAAGTGCATGGTAAACTGATTTGAAACAGCAGTTTGAAGCATATATTGGTGTGCCATAGGGATGCAACTGGTTGCGGCGACCAAAAACGGGCAGTAGGCGGGTAGTTGAACTAAGATGCTCGAACCGAAATTTGTTCAACTCTAGCTCGATCTCACATGTACGCCAGTACGTAAGTTGCGAATCGTACAGAGCAAGCGCCATTCACATGCATTCAGTCAACCGTAAAGTCAACGATAAAGTAGGCACACGATGACTGGACGTTCCAGGTGACAGTACTCTAGTGGGAAGAGAAGGACGGTGTGCGACAGAACCTCAGAGAGAATCCGATAGGTAATGGCAAACCGCCTTAAAATGAAAGCTAAACACAGCAGGGAGGGGCAAAAACAGCTCAGAAAGCAAATTGAAACCAACATGAGAGATACAATAGGCTGTTGAATGGCTCACAGCCACTGAAGAAGACGAAACCGAAAAGATGTGCGATGAAAGGCCGAAGCTGAGGTTTCTATCAAGTCCTAACGAGGACAATAGGTCGATCGGTGAACGGCGACCTATAGGGGAATGTCTACCTAATTCATAAACCAAGAGAATGCACGTAGTGAACGTGACTATGGACTGCACCGCAGTCAAGAATGAAAGCTCTATTTGAATGGTTACATATGAAAACCAGAATGTGTAAGTGAACAAACGTCAGTCCAGTTAGTACAGTGCTACAGCTATTAACATGTTCGAAGCTACTCGAGTTTCACTCTGCCAGCACTTCCGGTGCACACTGACGGAGCCTAGAGAGCAATAAACTCACAGACGTCGGCTGAACACATTGATCTAGGCAATGTCGAACGTTCAACTAGCAATTTTACGCCGTTTTTTGTGCACCCTGACCTTTGTCTTGGGTTAAAAGGTCACCTGTCACAAAAACTATGGTGCTATTCTGGTTCGACTTTCAATCAATCGTGTTGCAAGTGAAGTTAGGCTATGCCAAATAAGCAGTTGTGATAGATATAGATAGACAAGAGAGTTGGAGATTTCAATCAAGCACGCGAAGTCACTCTACACTGAGAAACCAAGAACCACTGTGCAGGTGTCTTATTTTTGTTGAGAATCACTAACAATGCACATCTGACGAAGCTCTAGACTACTTCACGAAACTTTGAGGAAATTCTACCCCACAACCTTCTGGTCAGTAGTTGAGTGTTCATTCATTCATGGTCGGTTAAACAGCGGTAGGGTTAGGCTGCAGATGAAAAGAGTTTGTTAAATCATTGCTGTGTGTTTTGGCCGGTTCAAAAAGACTTAGGTATGAGATTGGCGGCGAAACGCAGAAGTTTGAATAACGCTTGTCTGGATGAGTTCCAATTCAGAAAATTTCCGTACACGGTGGTTTCACTTGCTATGAATATCCTGATGAGAGCGGACTACAAGTAATATTCCTAGAATGGAAGAAAAACTGGACCGCCTCGAAAACTGTGGAACCTCGACATTAGAACAAACCAACTGAGATAAAAAATTTAGAATATAAGGTAGCAAGTCGACAATTTTATGGATCGAAGTAAGAGGAAAACGGGTCGGCAAAGATCACCACATATAAAGCAACGGGTGACTAAGAAGGAATGTTTTGACGCTAGATAAACAGAAAGTACCATACGTTTCTATCACTCTGAACAAGGTAGTGGTCCACGATTTGCACTCATTGGCAAACACGAGCATTTAGGTGCAATTTTCATATCAGACCAGCTTATTGGGCAGACCGAAAAATAAATCCAATTGCATTGATACAAGTAGGACACGTGCGTGATATACCTGCACGTACTCAGCGGATTCTTTATCGAACACAAAACTCCGACGATTGACAGCTTATCGTTTTTACTTGCGAAACGCACTTTATAAACTTGAGCTCAAGTTGTAATACCTGGGTGTGAATATACCGGCAACGTAGGGGCGAACTCACCGAAGTAAAGCTCTGTACTGCTGATGCTTTACGGTTTCTCTATCAATCGGTCAGTGCGAACCCAGACAAGTGATTTTGATAGGGACTGTGATCATGAATTTTGCTAAGTTGGAATTTTCAGCGCTGTTTAGGTAACTCCAGTCATCCCTCACAATGGCCTATAGAAGTATACCCTACTCATGGGTTGGAAAGGAAGTAGTGGAAGTAAACGTTGAGACAACGTGTACACCAGGATACGTATGCAGGACATTCTCAAACTGTTTGAGTGACCGGGAATCACACATCAGAATCGCTTCAAGGCACGCGCACTTGTAGACGGGATCAGCAACCGTAACAAACAGGCTCTACTGAAATGACGACTTTGTAGATGATGAATGAGCGGACTACGTTTTAGCTCACAGTTCTCTTTGCAACATTTGTGTGCAGATAGTTTGAACTGCGCTACCTTGTGATCTCGATGGGATTTGATCAGTCTGGTTTAGTGAAGCTTCAGTAGCCTCAAGTATACAGAAACCTAAGAACAAAATGAGCTGCCGCGAACGTTGAGGATACATACTGATCAGTGAGATAACCCGGTTCGAAGTATGCAGATGGGAGAGTGTGGCTGCCCCAATTATCACTAAAACATCAGTGACAGTAGCAAGTCCGTGGGTTGCATATGGGATCGATGATGCGCACACACAGATTGGAGGGTTGCGTTGAATACGCCTCTCGGCTTTCAGGTTCAAATTTTTTACCACAGAACATCTACGAAGGAAAAAGTGGTCGCGAGAAGCATTTTTCTCGTAGGTAGGTGGACCACATCCAACCGGCGTTAATCAACAAGTATTCAGTCGACGAAGTACAGAGACGTTATACATGGCAAAAAACGCGCGGAATGGGCGAGAGGGCCTGAGTCTCGTGTATCAAGTAAACCAAAACAGAACACAACAAAGAACAGACAACCAGACATCCCGCCTGGTAAGTGTCAGTCACGCTCTGTGCGCAATATCCACAGCAATATACTGCGACCGTACATCCGGATTCTATCTTTTGGCTTTCCAAAGAAGCAGTGTATCAAAGCAAATCTAAATACACGCAGTTAAGTGTCAGTACAGTAGACAGCAATCGATAGTGCAAAAGTAAGCCGAGCAATCGATTCAATGTTGATACCAAAAGCGGAGTGCGGTGTCGGGCTCAGCATACTTACGGAAGTGTGCGCATACAAGCGCAGTTCGTATGCGAATGTGTGGACACAAACTATGCACGGTAAACAGCACAAATATGCTGATGGAAGAAAAAAAGAGTCACTTGCAAGCTGATCAGTCAGGGTCCAGCAGTCAAGAATACTAACATATATTGCGGATAGTTGTAGTAAGTTCTACTTGTTGCAATCAAATTTCAGTCACTGTGGCATTCATTATGGGGCTATTATCAGTACTGCAACAACCGTTTTACGTATCCTTGAGACCTCACTAGAAAGAACTGGAGGTAGCCGTTGGCGAACCTTCACTTGTGTCCACGTATAAACGAACGCGAAACAGCGTTCGAGGCTGTGGAGTTGCCAAATAATTTTTCGGGATTAGATAGCTCAAATAAATGGTGACCGCTTGTTTGTGGACACAAGCACTTGCACGGACATAACAGACCGGAGGCAGAGGTACTTCAGCCATAAAAAAAACCACCAAATCTCCACCCTGATTAGAAATAATAAAATGACGCGAAAGATAGCGAACACCAATGAAAGCAGTCCGACAGAGGACGACACGGCAAAACTCAACAAGTGGTTGAAGGAACAAAAG